TGGAAAGGAAGGGCCTGGGAGTAAGCTCCATGCTAAGTACTTGCTGAGCAATGCATGAAGCCAGCCCTGGGTTTGAACCTAGAGAACTGGAGATCAGGGTTGGCAGAGTGGTATAAGGGCAGGGAGGGATGTGGTGACGGCAGTGGGGACTGTAGTGTCCTGGACATAGTGCTGGACTCTGAACAAGGAGAACCTAGGGCCTCTACTGCTGCAGACCCATCGCCTCCCCGGGTTGCAGGCCTTCCCTGCTCTCTAGCCAGTATGTCTCTTCCGGCCTCCTGTGGGAACCTTGTTCACTAGGCATAGGGGTCCTGGTAAACTTCTACCCTCATCAGCCCAAGGCCCTCCAGGCTGCTTCCTGTCCACAGCTTGGTTCCCCAGTCCCTAGGAAGTAGGAAGTCACCAGATGCCTTCTCCCCCAGAAAGAGAACCGTGGGGTATGTAGATAGATTTGCCTACTGGTTTGCTAGGAAAACAAGACCCCTTACACAGCAGAATGAAACACTCTGAGCCTTCCCCAAGAGAGGGCATTCCCCAGGAGTTCCTACCTGCTACAGTGTCTTACAGCAGGGAATAGGCTCAGAGCTAGCACAGGAGCTGCCCCACCCTAGCCAGAAGCACAAAACAGGGACTGGGAAGATTTGTGGAATATCTTAGCCACGGTGTTGACATTTAACTGGATGTCAGGGACCTGCCCATGTTTGCATTCATTAACTCAGGTAACTTCAGGACAGCTCCAAAAGGCCACTGAATTTACTCTGCTCCATTGATCGGGTGAGGAGGCTAAAGCACCAGGAGATAACGTCTCTTATTTCGGTACCACCCTCCACTCTTCTCTCAGTTTCTCTACCAACCTCCTAGCTGGGCTACAGGCTTCTCTTTTTAAATTATTATTCCAACATATTTTTTATTTAAATTAGAAACATGCTTGCTTCACATGCCAATCCCAGCTCCCTCTCCCACCCTTCCTCCCTTACCCCTCCCCCAGCTCCCTCAACCCCCAACCCAATCCCCACATCATTCCCCAGGAAGGGTGAGGCCCTCCAAGGGGGAATCTCCAGAGTCAGGCTACAGACTTCTTGTAGAATGCTCCTTCAGAACAATGCAGACACCACGGGAAGCCTGGGAAGCCATTTACTGCAGCTAAAAGCCTTTATACTGAGAGCGGCCTTATCCTTCCCCACACCCTACCACCCTTCCAATCTCCCGGTCTTCTCCTTGACCTCTGACCTCTTTCCCGTACTGTGCCCCAACCACCAAGAAGCTAAGCGACCTCTGCCCCTCTCTGCAGAGGCCTTAACTGTGCCCCAGTGGGGTGAGAGTAAGGATGACTTCCTAAGCAGGACCAGGGACAATGTCAGTGTGTTACCACGAAGTAGTTGTGGTTGTCCTGACCAGTGGGCAGCAAGGCCACAGGAAGCCAAGAAGGTTGTAAGCACAAAGACTTGCACGGGCCTGGGGAGCTGCAGAAGGATGACTACAACCCAGCCAGCCCCTACCCCCAGGTAGGCTTCCTGCCAGTGTTAGGCGGCAGAGCAGGCAAAGTAAGGCCTGGAATTATATCTGTCCATCTATTTCCAGGGTATGGGTGGGAACTGGGGTCCTGTGCAAGGGACTTGCTTATATAGGTGGGAATTGAGGGGCTTTCCATACAGGTGAGAACTGGGGTCCTATTCAAGGAACTTGCTACAAACATGCAGGGGATGTACACATGACTAAGAACTCCTCTTGTGGCAGGGGAACACCTTGACCAGCTCATGGTATCTGACAGGTACAAAGGCAGTATGTAGTTTGTGTCTTCCCTGGAACCTCTGGGCATGCTCTACCTTCACTGGAGAAACTGACTGGGGATGAACCCCTGGATGTATATTCTCTGGGGTTTGCCCAGGCACTGGCCTTGTGTGAGTAAGTTCATTTCCCAAATTTCCTCTTTTTGGTAAGCAGTGGCTACTTCCTTCTGGGCGGCCACTTCCTCCTGGTCACTGGGTTCCAAGAAGCTGGCCAGCCAGGGCAGAGGCTCACATGGTACAGATGAGAGGCTGAAGCTACATTTGTTTGGTTGTACTCTACATAAACTGTAAAAGTGTCCAAATAGAAGGTAAAAGGCAGTGCAGGGACTAAATAAACCTAGTCTCCTAGACAACACAAGGAAATAATAAAATCAACAGCAGTTTGGGGTGGCCTTAGAAAATGGGTGGAGGTCAAGTTGCATTTGGAGTTGATTACAAAGGCCTAATCACCTCTCATGGCTCAGGGGGATCCAGACTTTGAACATTTTTATATAAAAATTCTGTTGCCATTTACTGTGGGACATGAGAGCATTTCCACATGTTTACTGTGACATAAGTTGTGGCCTCCAAAGGGAAGAAGAAGGCAGGACCCTGCAGCACTACAGTGGGCTCCAGTCTCAATCAATCAAGTGTTCAGGGAATTCAGGGGCAGCAGAATCAGGCCCGAAACAGCTTGGGGTTCCTTGTCCACTACTGTCTATCAACCTGCTCCAGCCTTCCAGCCCAGACGTCCTCCCAGGAAGGAAGCTCCCTGCCTCTGCCCAAGAAGGATGGCATCTTATTTTTACCAAACATCCATTTTCAAGCTTGAATCTGTCCTCTAAGACCACATGGTTCATTGGCCACTCTCCCGAAGCTCACTGACTGAGCTGAGGTGGACCGTGTCCTTCTGTCTGCCACACCTCAGCTCAACAGATGGACGTCTCTCAGCTCTTCCTTTTTCCATAGTATTTCAAAGTCATACCCCGTCCTGACTGCCTTGTCCACAAGCCAATTAGTCATAGGCCCGTGTATCCACGGAGTGAGGCTCAAATTGAACTTGGTTCCCCTCACTCCCCACGGAAGCCCAGCTGGTACACAGTTTGGAAGTCTCTAGCCTGCTGTGCGTGTAGGCCAGTCTGACTTACTGCTGACTGAGGAAGGCAAAGCTAGTGGCACAACAATAATAGCAATGGCAGTAAATAAAAGACTGAAGCAAAAAGGGGTAAATAGCCTGACCCAAGCTTCTCTCTGTGTGTGTTGTGTCATGTCTCTCTCTGTCTCTTTCTCTCTCTGTCTCTGTGTGTGTGTGTGTGTGTGTGTGTGTGTGTGTGTGTGTGTGTGTGTGTGTAAAATATGAGAGGGTGGGCAGCAGGATGGAGAGACAGCTCTGCAGTTAAAAGCACTGACCAGAGGACTTGGGTTTGGCTTTCAGCACCCACATGGTGGCTCTCTCTGTAACTCGAGTTACAAGGGATCTGACACGCTTTTCTGGCAGGGTATTTGATATGTTCTACAAATGCAACTAGAATGTCTAGTCCTCTTTGAAAACGTGAGTTTTGCTCTCATCGCTCCTTCTGCCTTGAATGCTGGCCCCGTCTCTGCTTGAGTTTCTCCCTCCCATCATGTAGGTCTCTGCTCATTTCGTAAGATCTCTCCTCTGGTCAACCCACAGAACGTTATACTCATCTTCCTTTGAGAACTCTATCCTCTCACTTTATTTTTCTAAGTATTTAAAAATACCTTGGGAGGAGGCTGGAGAGATGGCTCCGTGGTTAAGAGCACTGACTGCTCTTCCAGAGGAACCAGGTTCAATTCCCAGCACTCAGATGGTGGCTCACAACTGTCTGTAACTTCAGTTCCAGGGGACCTGACACCCTCACACAGACATACATGCAGACAAAACGCCAAAGCACATAAAATAAATACCTTGTGAGGTTGTTGTGGGGGGTTCAAATGACTTACAGGAAATACTGGGAAGCTGGGTGGGATAGCACATCGTAAACCTAGCACTTTGGAGGTGGAGGCAGGAAGATCTCCAGCCAAATACCAGCCTAGGCTACACAGTGAGAAATGGTCTCATTCCTGTATTGCTATCCATCACAGGTAAGTGATGTCTCAGTTAGGGTTTCTATGGCTGTAATAAAGCACCATGACCAGAAGCAACTTGGGAAGGAAAGGGCTTATTTCACTGTACAGATTATAGTCCATCGCTGAGGGAAGTCAGGGCAGAAACTTGGAGCAGGAAACTGGAAGCAGGAACTGAAACAGAGGCCATAGAGGACCGACCACTCCTCACAGCTTGCCTCTCGTGACTTGTCCTTCATGGTTTATCCAGGCCATTTTCTTATGCCATCTGAGACCACCAGCCCAGGGACAGTACCATCCAGAGTGGGCCAGGCCCTCCCACATCAATCAAGAATATGCCCCACATACTTGCCTACAGGCCAAGCCTGTGGAAGCACTTTCTCAATTAAAATTTCTTCTTCCCTAAGGATTGCAGCTTGCATCAAGTAGACAAAACACTAACCAGCACAGTAGCATATTGTTTTAAACAGCAATCAATTTACAGGCCATAACAATATTTATGTAGCAAAGCAATTGTTCTACTTATCTGCTTTCTAAAATGTGTGCATTATTGTTCTGTTTTAATTAGAATATAGCACGAGGCCAGGAAGTCATTGGCTTGTCACTGCTTGGTCTGCCAATGTTTGAACCCTACACAGAACGCCCTCCATAAATATTTTTCTTATTCAGTGAACAAACCAGGATGTGGAGAGACAGTAAATACTTTAGCTTCCATTCACAAACTGTACAAATATTTACCGAGCACCCACCCTCTACCAGGCAACAGGCGCTCTAGTCTTTGTGGTATCGCCTGTGACTACTGGCTGGACATTGATTTTAAAATCAAAGCTTTTTTTTGGAGTTCCGGGCAATGTTAAGTGGACCCACCACAAGTTTTGAAAAAAAAAAAAAAAAAACCCTCTCATAGAACCCACTCTTGCATAAAGAAACAGAACTTTGCTTCCCGGGATAGGGGGAACCTTGGAGCCCCAAGATGAGCTGAGACCTGGGTTGAGCAATCTCTGGTAGCTGGGTAACCTCATCTCCCCACGCAGCGGGGGCGCGGCGGCGGGGGTGGGACTACAACTCCCAGGCTGCTCAGCGCGCCGCGGCCCGGCGGAGGGCGCAGCACGGGGAGGTGGGCGCTGCGGCGGCGGCCCGGAGGCGCGGGGCGCGGGCGCCGGCGGCGGGCTATGCCGGGGGCCGGGGCCCGCGTGGAGGAGGGCGGTGGTGGCGGCGAGGAAACGACGCCGGGAACTGGCTCGGAGGTCGGGGCGGTGGCGGGGCGGGAGCCCTCGCGGCTGTGCGGCTACCTGCAGAAGCTCTCGGGCAAGGGCCCGCTGCGTGGCTACCGCAGCCGCTGGTTCGTGTTTGACTCCCGCCGCTGCTACCTCTACTACTTCAAGAGCCCGCAGGACGCTCTGCCGCTCGGCCACCTGGACATCGCTGACGCCTGCTTCAGCTACCAGGGCCGCGATGAGGCTGCGGAGCCGGGAGCCGACCCGCCCACGCACTTCCAGGTGCACAGCGCGGGTGCAGTCACAGTGCTCAAGGTGGGATAATCGCGCCCCGGTGCCCACTCGTGTCCCGCCTCCGGATTTTCCCCCTCTACCTTCCTTCCTTGCCCCAGTGGCCTCCTCCTATCCTGCCCAAGCCTCCCTTCGTATTTGCACACTCTGATTCCTTCCTCATTCTTATCTCTTGCTCTTTACCTGCGCTAAAGTTTTGAGGCTGGGCGGGCTTGGGGGTTTTTCTGTCTGACCTTTGGTACTTCGACCCATTATCTCCTTCTGTGCCTTTCCTCGGGTCCTTCCCGTATCCACCCTCCCCGACATGTGGATGCTCTGGGAGACCCTCCCACAGTGACAGGCTTCCATCCTTCATCCTTCACCCCTGCCTTTTCAGCTCTGTCTGTGACCTTGGGTAATCACTTTGTGCTTTGGCTGCCTGCTCTGTAAAGTGGGGACAGCAGTTATAGCCATCTCATAGGGGTTCTGGGAGTAAGTGATTTCCACTCTAAAGTACTCTTAAATGCGATGCGTTTAGCGCTCTAGCCAAAAGCAAGTGATAGCAGCCCCCGCAGAGAGAGGGAGGCCGGGGATGCTCCAGCCATGCTCACTCTGGCTGGGAGAGGTGGGAGGGGTTGCTTCAGCTTATTGGGAGGGAGGGGGCTTCCTTAAGCCCTGAAAGATGAGTATTAGAGGTTTGACAGTAGTCACCAGTCCTGGGGCAGCTTTCCTTGTTGCTGGGAGTTCTAGAAGCCAGGACCTTGACATCTCCTAGGGATTATCCTGGCCTAGACCTAGGCTGCCCCCTTCCCTCCGGGCCTTTCTCGCGACTTGGTTCCCTGAGTCTCCACCCTCTCTCTTTCTGGCTTCTCTTCCGTTTTGCAAGCTGGGCTTTCTCCAGAGCAACAGGGCTGGGCTTGAAGCAGCAGCTCTCAAAGCTGGCCAGGAGGAGAGAGAGTGGCCTTGTGAGCGTGCAACTGTTCCCGAGATCTTCCGAATGTGCAGCAGCTGCAGTTGTTCCCTGGAGCTGTTTCTTGGAGCTTTGTCGGCTCAGCAGAGTCTGAATGCCAGGGTCTCTTGGGCCCCTTTCTCCTCTGTCTGAGTAGGTGCACAAAATGTTTCTCTAAAAGAAGCCAAGCAGGCCGGCAGTTCAACTTGAGGTAACTTAGTGTCTGTGTAAACTTGGGACTGACTCCAGAGTGTCCACAGGGACTTTTGTCAGAGGCGGACGCTTGTGACGCTTGCGACGCTTGTCCTCAGTGTGCATGTGGACACTGGTAAATTTCCGGTGGAATTGTTTGTTAAGAAAGAAAACTGAGCTTCCTGTTTCAGAGTTTCTCAGATAACTTTAGAACCCTCTCCCTACCAGCTCCATCTAAACAATGGCAGTGCCTGCATAAGTGGAGTTACAGTGCTTAATGTTAGAAATACGGCTTTAGATTTGGACAGGTTTGAACTTGCAGCCTGAGTCATCATTGATCATGTGGATTGGACACATTTTATCACTTCTCTGTCTAGTTCCTGCTTTGGTCTAATGTGAAGTTTACCTTCTTCCTTGAGTGACTGGGGGGGGGGGGGGGCTCTGGAAAGCATGGAAAATGATGGTACATTGTAAGCCCTACTGGCAGACATTTAAAATTATCAGGCACTCTCTTTGGCCAGATATTCGATATAGTCATTATATCCATATAATGGAATGTTATGGGTAGTGAATATAAGGGAATTAGAGGTGTATGGGTCACTCTGTGTGTGTGTCCCATACGTAAAATTGAGCAAAAAATAAGAAGTTTCAGAGTGATACCTTTTATGTGACAATTAAGAAGTGTGTGTGGAGTATTACATACCAAGAAGGTCTGTGCTGTGCCCTGTAGGGAGTTGGGAAGCTCTGTAAGTGACAAGCCCTGGCTTCAGGGTAGTAGATAACCCTGACAGAAAGAGGATTGTGGAAGAGGGGGGGGATAGCCTGGGCCGTCTACTTCAATTTTGCAATGGTTTTCATTTTAGACTGGGTCATAGCTGTACCAAGGTTTGTTGTGTTCTGCTTATTTTTTGTAGCTCTGGCTGGCCTTAAACTCAGAGAGATCCAGCTGCTTCTGCCTCCTGGAAGCTGAGATTAGGGGTGTGCACTACCGTACCCAACTCAGAGTTAAACATTGTTTTAAATTTACATGTATGAATGTATGTATATGTACCTGGTTCCTGCAGGGCCTGAAGAGGATACATGAAAACTGGAGTTACTTATGATTATGAGCTTCTATGTGGGTGCTGGGAACCGAGCCAGGGTTCAGAAGCAAGTGCCCTTAAGTGATTAGGCATCTTTTTGGCCCCTGAGACTGTTTTGTTTTGCATCTTTTCAAAAGGTGAAGGAAGGGCACACATTCACGTGTGTTACTGACCCTGATTTTCATTCAGAATTTCACAGGCTTCATAAATATTCATGCGATCTTTTTTAAACCTATTTTTATTTTATGCCTGTGTTTATGTAAGTGTGTCATGTGTGTGCTGTGCCCATGGAGACCCGAAGAATTAATCAGATCTCCTGGAAGCAGAGTTACAGTTGGGAAACACTAGCTAGTTGCTGGGAACTGATCCCAGGTCCTCTGCAAGAGCAGCAAGTGCTCTTAACCACTGAACCATTTCTCCAGCCCTCATGCAAGACAGTTTTACATGTAAAATTGGAGAACAGAGACAGGATACCTGAGTGTTGGCTTGGTAGAAATGGTGGGAATGGAAAAATGGGAGGGTTTCCCCAAAAAAAAAGACCAATGGAGAGGTAGGGTTTCAGAATCAGGGTGTTCTTATTTTTATGTTAAATTTTAGGGGCAGAGAAGATGGCTCAGTTGGATAAAGTATTGGCTTGAGGGGAAGAGGAATTGAGTTTGATCCCCAGCACCCAAGCAAAAGCAGGGCATGGTACTAACCTACCTGTAATTCTGCTGAGTTCCCAGCTCCCAGGCTAGCCAGTCTAGTCATCTGTGAGGTCCAGAGAGACTCTGTGTGTGTGTGTGTGTGTGTGTGTGTGTGTGTGTGTATAACTTTCCTTTTGAGCTTCTGGAGTAAACTGGTTATGGAAAAGCTGGGAAATAGCAGGCATCTTCTCATGAGATCTGATTCCCGTAAGCATGGATGCTTCCCACGAGGGCGGCCCACAGGGGAGACTCTGGATGCCTCCCACCAGGGCTGCCCACAGGGGAGATCCTGTCTTCCAAAGAGCTGGAGAAGATCTGTAGCTGCTTCAATTCAGGCATGACTGTGCAGATGCCATTTCTTCTGAAAAAAGATGGGTTAAAAAGAAGAAAATCAGTGATTTGCTTTTTATATTATCATGTGTTTCTTATTGTAAGCGTCTTTCAGTCTTCTCGGGAGAAGCTGTGGCTTTGTCAGGCTTTTTCAGAATGCCTTACTGCTTAAGTCTTAATGAAAGCTGATACTGGAATTTCTTGGTAAACTCCTCTGTTCTTAAAGTCAGGGATCTGGTCCAGAGCCCTGTATAACAGATGAGGGAAAGGAGGCCCAAGAAGGCCTGCGATTCGCCTGAGATCACGAGGCTCCAGACCATCTGAAAGCAGCTGCGTGAGTCTCCGGGAACAGGGAGTGTCCCGGTTGCATTATCAGTTTTGGCAAATCTCTCTCTCCAGACTCTGGGTACTGTTTGTTTTGGATTGGGTAAGGTGGAATGGCCTTTCCTCCATCGCTGCATTTCTGTCGGGTCCTTTTTATGTAGTAAGTACCTGGAACAGTGACCTGCCTGATCCTACTAGGATGGATGCACATTACTTTTGAGTAGACATTTGGAAACTGCTGCAATGGCCTGGAGGAGGCATATGCTCCCTATGCGGTTTATACTGTGTGCTGCCGGAGGCTTCTTTCCCAACTTCCCTGGGACCAGCGGCATGGAGTTATTCCTGGATTGAGTTGTTACTTAGGGATAAGAAAGCATGTGACTGAATATGGGTAAAGTTTGGATGACCATGCCCCGGCTGATCTCTGCAGTTCTCGGAGCAAAATACATCATCAGACTGGCCAAAAACAAATTCCCCTTCCCCCTCCCTTTCTTGGAGGCTGGTGGTGCTCACATGAATGTGTGAGCACCATGTTGGTTTCCAAATCACACATAACTGAACAACTATGCATCCCTAGTCTTAACTCTGTTTTGTGGGGGAAATGCCCGTTCTCTCGTGTTGAATGGCTCTCAGCTTAATGACAAACATTTGTTAGTGTGGATAATGATAGTGTGCGCGACACAGAATAGATGTGGTAAACCAGCCTTCCTTGGAGAATGATTCTGCTAAGCCGTTCTGCACTAAGGCTTCTGTGCAGGGTCTCAAAGCATTATTTAAATCTTCAGTTGTGGAAACGTAGCTTTTCATAGATTTGTTACGGCTTCTCCAACAGTCAGTTCCTTAAAGTTCAAGTTCCTGATGTAATTGCTTTCTGCCCCACTACCTCTCACATACTCCTTGCTATGGGATGTCTGACCATGTAGTGTCCAGTCTAGTTCTCTGAGAACTTCTCAGTGTGGTCCCTTTCTCAAAGCTTCTGTATTGAAGCCCTAACTCAAAAGCGTCATGGATTTGGGAAGTGGGGCCTTCAGGAGTGAGACTAAGCTCCATAAAAACAGATTCCAGGGAGATTATCTGTCTCTGTTCCCTTCCTCAAACATTAATGAGAGCTAGTTGTATGTAAGACTCAGACAGTGCCAGATTTCAGATTCATGGGCCCTTGACAGGAACAGAATTGGCCAGCATCTTGATTTTGGATGTCTTGGCATTCAGAACTGTGAAGAGTAAATTTGTGTTTAAGCCACTCAGTCTGTGACAACATCATTATTGTCATCGTCATCGTCATCATCATCATCTGTATGTGTGATGTACATATGAAAGGCACATGCATATGAGTGTTTATGTAAGCAGCAGCCAGAGGACATCGGGCTTCTTCCTTTGTTGCACTCTGCTTATTCCCTTGAGACAGGAGTCTCACTAAAGCCAGCCAGTAAGTTTCTAGAATGTGCCTTTTGTGCCATCCCACCCAACCTCAGCACGAAT